ATACATACATACATACATACATACATACAGACATACATACATACATACATACATACATACATACATACATACATACATACATACATACATACATACATTACATACATACATACATACATACATACATACATACATACATACATACATACATACATACATACATACATACATACATACATACATACATACATACATACATACATACATTACACACATTACATTACATTACATTACATTACATTACATTACATTACATTACATTACATTACATTGCATTACATTACATTACATTACATTACACTACATTACATTACATACATACATACATACATACATACATACATACATACATACATACATACATACATACATACATTCACACATACATTACATTACATTACATTACATTACATTACATTACATTACATTACATTACATTACATTACATTACATTACATTACATTACATACATTACATTACATTACATTACATTACATACATACATACATACATTACATACATACATACATACATACATACATACATACATACATACATACATACATACATACATACATACATACATACATACATACATACATACATATACATACATACATACATACATACATACATACATACATACATACATACATACATACATACATACGAGAGAGGGAGATTGGGGAGAGAGAGGCTTGGGGGGATGGGGAGGTTGGGGAGCAGAGGGAGGGAGAGAGGACGACAGAACACACAAGGGAGACAAGGGAGAGAGGAAGAAGGAGAAAAGGGAGAGGACAATGTCGGCGGACTGAGCCGGAGGCTCTAAAGTTGGTTTCTTGCACTTTGCAGGCATCTCAAAAGAAGAGCGGGACATCTGCTGAACACAGACGTGTAACCCTTCTGTGTCAAGTGGGAACAGTGATGAGGCCACGATGAGTTTGCGAATGTCGATCGCAACATACATCAAAGTACTCCCCGAAAGCTTCACAGCCACAAGGGCTTGGAATGGGCTCAACAGGATTCCATGCTGTTTTGGTTCAAGCTAAATCCTCTTTCGAACATCTTTCGGGTTCCCTGCACGATTTACTCTCCCACCCAGCTATATAACATGGACCCTGAATTTTCGGGAAATGGTCCCTTGAGGGAACATTGTCCAAACTAGGACCGATTCCCCGAAACGTTGAACGGTTCGGTTCCATGTGTGAAAAGGCTGGGAGGGTCGTTGATTTCAACAAGGAAAAACCAAGAAGAGAGGTCAACCTGGAGTCTCCATGACCCTTAAAAAATGAGGTCATGCCCCCAAAAACCATGGGGTCATGGGCCCATTTTTCACGTGGGACTCCAGGTTGACCTCTCTTCCGGGCTTGGCTCGATCCGCGCCTTCAGCTCTTCCGCCAGGGGGTCTTTCTGTAGCTTGCAGGCGTAGATGAGGGCGCCATAGGTGAGCCTCCGCAAATTCTCGCCATTTCGCGCTCTCTTTTTTTTTGGCGGAGGCGAAAGAAGCCCGGGCTTGGGCTAGTGGAACCAACCGGAGACCAGTTTTACTGGGAACAAATAAATGCGGTGAAAGGCCTCAACCGTGTCGTGTGCAAAGGAAGACGTGCTGTTTCCACCATTATGCCATTATGTGTCGTAAATATGCAAGATATCGACGGGCGAAACAGGGTCCCGTGCTTTCCGTGGCTACCCGGGTGAACCGACATCTGGGGACACGAGAAGCATGATCTTGGGATCTTGATCTTGTGATCATGATCTTCGGTCTCGTTTTTTTTGCATGGGTTTGCGGTTTAAAAACCTATTCGCTTGACCGTCAAGCGGGGCTCCAAGTGGACCCTTAGCACCAGGATTGGGCTTTTGGTTTGAGGGAAACAGGGGAAACCAAAAGCAGGTTTACCAAACGGTGGGTAGAACGATAAACCTCAGGGTAACCACAAGGTTATCACATCGCACTCCATCACCGGTTCGTACGGTCATTAAGTGGTCATGGTGCTTTGCTGGGATCTGGGCAAATTGCTGTTGCCACACCCAAAAGCAGGGGAACCCCCCCCCCCCCCCAATTTTCCCCCCTCCCCCCCCCCCCCGCCAGTACAGGTGGGTAAGCTCGTTTAACCGTTTAACCCCTTGATTTGCCCACACGGAATCCTTTTATCCGTCCCAGATGCTGCATTTAGGGTCAACACTTGTCCCTGGGGGAGAGTTTTGGGAGTTGGGCCTGTACCCACTGGGCTTTGAGGGGCAGGGAGAAGCAAGTCGGCATCGCTTTGACCATAGTCCCGCGTACGTCAGATTTTCTGGACAGGTTGGCGGCAGATTGGCGCTTGCCAGCATTTACGGCCCGTACTCAAGAGACACGGAAAGCAACAAAGCCCCTTCTTTCATACCAATGGAAGACCTTCCAAATAGTTGGTTCCTTCAAATTAAAACAAAAAGCAGGCCCCCCAAACCACCCCAGAGCCCATCTGGGCAGGGCCCCCCATAGCTTTCAGCTGTGGGGCAAAAGGTCTTTCCTTTGCACCCACAAACAAACTGCGACACGTTGATTCGCTCGCACCGAGTCCTTGCAACATCCAACTTGATGGGCTTTGAAAAACCACACCATGCGCTTCCTGGTGCCCAGACAACCCATTTATGTAAGTGGGTTAGATGTGGAACACTTAGCAAAGAGATTCCGGGCCTCCAAACAAGCATACCAGTTGTCCAAAGCAACCTAAACACCTGTAGGTGTCTGTGGCAGGCTAGGTTTCCTTTTTCAGGCCCTTCTTGAGACGCGAGCTCTCGCGCAACCGGGTCTAGGAAAAAACGTGTGTTGTTTCTCAAATCCTCTAAACAGGTGCGTCTTTTTTTGAGGGTACCCTTTTTCGGGTTGATGTTAAAGGGAAGCCAAAGCAAGACCGTTGCGCCATTTTGGGGTCATCCTGAGAAAGACGAGTCACAATGCTGCTTTCAAGGACTCAAACACCCCTCAAAGTGCGATCAATTTAAGGGACCTGTGGTGCCAGCCTCCCCCTTAGGAAGTACAGCCACCTCGCCAGGGCGGCGGGGAAACTGTGCAACTTTCTTGTTGGATAGTGCGCAAAGAAATCCAACCTTTTGGTTCATACACCAAAATGGGCTTGTCTTAAAATGGTAGGTTTCCATTTGGTTTCCCTTGAAAACCAACTAAAAAGGGGAAAGACGACGCACCCACATGATCCCAACAAGCGTAAGACAAAGAGCAGGGAAATACTAGGGCAAGCTAGCATGGTCTTGAAACATTGTCCCCAAATCATCGGAAAAAAGTCTTTCCAAAAGCGGCGTGAGTAAATTGTGGCGAGTGGCTTGTTGGGTGCCACGATCTGCGACCACATCTCCTCCAGCAGAGCTCGCCCTTTGGCGAGCTGCGCGCTACGGCCGTAGGCGGTCATGAGCGAGGTATAGGAGAAAACCTCAGACTCCCAGGCCCCGACCCTGAACATGGTCTTTCAATGGATTTCATACTGTACCCTACCTTTCGAAGGGAAACCTCAAGGAAAAGACGACATCGACCCCGAGCAAAAGGAAACCCTGTGGACCCTGAGCATGAAGGCTTATAAGCAACCCCCTGGACCCGAGCCCCAAAGACCTCAAAGACCTCTGAAGAATCCATCCATGGACTTCATTTACCGCGCATGGTCCAAACCAACCAAGGGACCTATGGAGAAAAACAAAATGCCAAGAACCGCCAGGAAAGGCGATGGGGAAATACGATTCACACAAACTGGAAAGGATTCCGCTGATGACACTTGTGTACCACCGTACCACCTATTGTTTAAATCTGAGCATTCCCATCCAAACCTCAGGGAACCGCTGAAGGACCTAGATCTCTCCTGGGTTAACTCGGTCGAACCCCTGCTTTAGCACGCTTCCGACCCATTGGCCATGGTCGTTCACAAATATTTGCTTGAAACCACGCGCTTGGCAAAACGAAAGCACGGAACAAGGGTAACCCCGTGACTTGAGGATGTTGTTTGCCTGCTTCATGGTTTACTTGTTTGACATGTTCTGTCTCAAAAAAACGGGTATGGATCGTGCCGTGGTGATCTAGGCCTCTGCATCAGTCTGGATCACCTGCGGTTTGCTCTGGATCGGGGGTCTGGATCGCCTGTCGGGTTTGGGCCTTGGTCCGGACCTCAAATTTTGAGCCGCAGCCCAAAATTGGCTGGGAGGCTTCCTCTTCTGGCACCAAATGTCATGTCTGGCTTCTGGTCCACGCTTACTTAGTGAACCTGAAAAAAAGCTACATCATCCCTACTGTACCATGGACCCTCAGCTTGCCCTCAATCTTTTGTGAAGTTGGAACCCCCAAAATGGAGCAAAGGTTCTCCTTTTGGCTTCTCTTTAAAACCAACCACAAAGAGGTTCCCACCCAAAAATGCGAGCCCACCCGCGGTTTTCTGGAGCCCTCGCCACCGCCAGGTGGCATCCGGTATCAACTCGGCACGCTTCATCTGGGCCACGAGCGCCTCCGCTTGCGCCACTTCGCCTCCCTTGGCACAGGCACTGAGAGCCTTGGACACGAGGTCACAGTCCGGGGGGGCCAGACGTCCGCGAAAGCGGGATGGCCTTATGCAGGGCTGTTGGGCAAAATGTTGTACTGGAAAAAAAGGCTTAAAGGCTTGAAACAATACGGGCTTGAAACAATATTGCTTGAAACAAAAGGACTTATTGTCCAGGAAAAAGCCAAGGGGTCTTGAAACAATCGGCTTGGATCACATGCTCGTCCAATCTCAAGCCCCCACCCCCTCCCCCCGAGAAATTCTCCGATACAATGGCTAGTTCAAAGCCTAGGAGGGATCCCCAAAAGGCAAAGGAACAGTATTGGGCGGAAACAAAATGGGCTTTAGTCGTCGCAAAGAAGGCCAGTAGGCAAAAAAGCCTGTACTCGGATCGGGGGCACTATTGGGGGAGCCCAATACAACCATAGGACAACTGTTGGGCCGGTTTATCGAGATTGGCACGGACGAAAACAGGCCGCGGCATGTGCTCCACTTTGAAAAAAGGGGAGCGCGCCTGTCCGACAGACCAAACATAGCATCCAAATCCAAGTGGACCCATCGCAGCACATCTCTGGAAGAGCCATGCCGTGCTCTTAGTTTTGCTTTCTTGCTACCCCCTGAACCATTGGGAACATCGCGCCGCATCTTTGGAAGGGCCATGCCGTTCCCTTCTTGTCTTTCTTGCTACCCCCTGAACCATTATTGGATGTTTGAACGGCCCGGCGGCGGAATTGTAGCTGATGTGGGAGGGCTGCACTCCGGACTGCTGCATCTCCTGTGAAAAGCTGCGTCAGCAGCTGAGCCGATGGCCGCTGAGCGAGGGTTCGTAATTGATTCCCAGGGCGCTGTCTCAAAGCAGTGCTGAAAAGCAAACATCTCCAAGCAGAGTTCCACTTTTTGACTACCCCAAGATAGACTCAAAAACGCAGGGGTTCTCCTTTTGGGGGCAATGAACCACTCTGGGTTTAAGTCTAGCCCGGGCTAGTCAAAAAGCGGAACCCTGTCTCCAAGCGTCAAGGCCTCCTATTGAGTTCCGTCACAGAACGACTTGGGGGCGCTTCCCATCAAATGAACATGGATCCCACAAAGGGGGTCTCCCCAAAGAAGATTCCTCTACAAATGTCTTTTTCTTGAAGCTCCCTGTTCATTTGCAGGGGGCGTATTGTGTGCTCCTCCCTGCCCTGGGTGCGCGCTTTGCAGGTCGACAGTCACACTCTTACATAAATGTCGGTGTGCTCCTCCAGCTTGAGACACGCAGCCGCAGCATCCCCGGCTTTGGCGTAGGCGTTGATGAGCGAGTTGAAGCTCACCTTGAGACATTCAACTGACTCTCACTGCCACCTTTTTTGGCAGAGTGTCACGACGTGCGTACTACCAAGTACAACATGTGGTCAGGTCAATGTAGACGGAAAATCAGTTCCAAACAACCTCAGAGTTGCTGAATTGTCCGGTCTCTCCAATCTCAACACTGGGAATGGTGAGAGTACTGCTTCTTACAGGCGCAAAGCGACAGTTGAAGGGCTATTGCTCGTCGAGCCTCACCGAGTACGTGGCGCAGCTAGACGGGCGAAGCTAGACAGCAGCATGGCACAACTTGTTTGGTCGGTTCCCGACTAACCCGAGGATGTTCAACTCAACTGCTAGTGTTGATTGCTCAACTAAACCGTTCAAGTTCAGACTTATGCGACGCTTGTCAAACCAAAGCGAACCCTGGATCTAACAGACTCCAAAATGGGTTGCTCGCTATGCCCCCAAAGCACCGTTCTCAAAAACGACACACCCAACTCAGGCAAGTCAAGCAAGCTCGGACTAGGGGGGAAACCGCACGCTCGAAGGGTTCTGCAAATATTTCTGGCGGGTAACGGGGGGCCTACTGTGGAGGGACGAAATCCCGCGCCACCCAAGAAACCTGGGAATGATGATTCCCCTGTAAATACCAACAAACAATGGCTTCCCATGGTTTCAAAGTGGTGCAGGAGTTCGTCCATCCACAGTATGTCCCCTTTCTGCCAAGCATCCACGTCGGCCGCTAGATGCGAATCCAGCAGTCTTCCCAGGATGGTTTCAGCTTGAGCGGCATCCCCTGCTTTTGCGCACGCGTTCCTGGCTCCGAGAGGGTGGAGACTAAGTCACAACCTCTGTTGAAAAAACATGATGACACGCAGGGTACATAACCATCAAAACACCGCAGAAAAGGGTTTGATACCAGGTACCTAATTTCCTACGGGGCTGGTGGTTTGGGTGGCCCAGGTCCTTTACCCAATCGCATCAGGTCATTGAAGACGAATGCCTTTGTTCAGGCCTAATAAGGTCTCAAACATCCTTATGCGGCTGCTTTTTAATGGAGCTGTCTCCTCCTCACAAAAGCGTCAAGGAGCTAATCATAGGCGCCTGGTCTAAAGCTATATGGGTGTCTCGTGCTTGAGGTTACCCTTCCTGGCCTTTGAAGGGAAAACGGGCTTGCCTCATCGGGTGACAAATGTCTGTATGGTTCTGGATGAACCACTTGCTGACCCTTGAACGGGAACCAAATGACCCTCAACCACCGATTTTCGGGGTTCTGGGTGATATGGTTACATGGTTGACCGGGTAGCAAGGCACCCTCACGTTTCTGCAATAACCACAACAAACACGACATCCCATGTGGGGGAGGTCCCTGAGACACAAACTGGCTGCTCCAAATCAAGGGGCCACTAAGTTGGGCCCCACAACCCTCGTGGAGACATCCAGTCATGAAAAACCCTTAACCTCTTTGGTACCTGAAATCGAAGGCAACTCCCACAACAAACATATTGAAGGTCAGGCTGATATATGGTGTTCTCCCTGCAGATTAAGCATCATTCGTGACGGAATCGCTTTTTCAGGGATCCTTTGTTGTGCTTGTGTGGTCTCATGTCTTTTGGGTTCTCTGTCTTTTTTTGGCCCATGTTTCCCTTTCCGTTTCGCGCACAGCGCGCTGCCAAGAGGCAAGGCGGAGTTGTAGCTTATGATGTCCGGCGTGATCTGCAAATCGCGCATCTCCTCAACTACCGCCAAGCACTGCGACGCATCACCTCACCGCTCGAGGTTGGGCCAAACTGGCTTGATCCACGCCCCCTGAACAAGCAAAAGGTCCTTAGGCCTCTTGTAGGTTGTTTAAAGCCGGCAAACCCCCAAAAGGTCTCTCCTTTTTGCTGATCCCATCTCTCAAAAGACTGGATCGCCAAGTTCAAAGTCAACTGAGCTGAACAGAAGAACTTGAACACGGAAAATATCTCAAGAATACAAGCTAAGGTTTGGGATGGGTTCATCCCAAATATCAACCTGCGAACGAGGGATTTCTACTAAACCTGAACTTCTACCCATCCTGTGCCCCTTACGGTTCAATTCTTGTTTGAGTGACTGGGCACCCATTTCTCCTTGAAACGAAACACCTGTTGAGGCGCTTTCGGAAGTGTCAGTACCCAGCAACGAACCGCGCCCCTCTCTGGCCTGAGCTCTGGCCGGGGATTCATGCAGTTCCCTCAATGTCACCCACTTGCGATCGGTGCGATAGGAATGGGTTTTGCGAATGAAGCGGAAGGTCTAGGGGTTGATTCCTCATTCTTTTCAACCATCGTTCTTTTCAAAAGCCGGCCCGATTCCCCAGGTTTTGTAGAAAGAAGGATGCTTGGAAAGAATGGGGAAGGTACCCCTAGAGAAGGGGATTCCCTTAAAGGAAGCCATGCGGAGAGCCAGCAAGCCCACCATGGGACATGGGACAAATGCATCCCTTTCAGGGCCACCGTGCGGGGCCCGAACTGTGTACCGAGTTGTGTGCTTTGCAACCGCATGCTGTCTGTGACAAAGGTGCTCTGTGAAAAGATTGCCCTGAAAAACGCCCTCCCACCCCCACCCCCATGTCATACATGCACTCAATACTTGTTTTGCCCAGTATTGACCATGGAATGATCCATACAAAACCTCTGGTCATATGGTGCTTCAGCCATGCCTGACCCACGCCAAAGGGCGACGGGCACTCTGTGAGGGGTCCCCCGAAGTGGAATCAGTTGCTGGTTCCTAGTAATTGGGTCAAAATCAAACACCAGGGGACCTCAGATTTTAGTCTAGGTTTCCATCAGGGGTGCCATTTTGGGGTCAACTTTTGACAACCACACCTGGCTTGTGTCACCTCAATCCACTTCAGCCACTGACAAGTCCCCCAAAGCAGAAAATCATCTGCTGGCTACGAACCAAAACCCCCTCGTAATCTGGGTATAACCTGATTCCTAACCCAATACCCACTCAACCAGCACTTATCTGGCTGGTGCTCAGTGGAGAATGCGGGAATGAACCTGGGAGTCCACTTAAAGGATACCACCACAAAAGGATGGTTTACAGGATCATTCCACTTCTTCCCGGCCTATCGCACCAGCAAGTAGCCTGGCTCCTCACCGAACTCGCGCCTCGGTTGGCGCAGGCCTTCAGCAGGACGTTGAAGCTTGGAGTCGCCGGCGTGAGGCCCGAGCTCGCCATGTCCTGCGCCCGGGCTTCGCGCGAAGCGCGCTTCGTCCGCGCGACATCTCCTTGCTGGGCTGTCCGTTTTCAGCTCCCCTGCGAAAAGCTTAACCTGTAGTGGGTCAAATGGAAAACCAACCACGAAACGCGAAAAAGCCAAAAAGCTAAGGGGATGGCTGGGAGCCACCAAGCTTGGAGTCTGGCAATTTGGTACGCAAAGCACGGTGAAAGCGTGTGGCATGCCAGGGGTTGATGAATTCTTTTCAAGTAGTCTTCAAAACCCAACCCTGTTCCTGGGCATTTGGTGGCTTTCTAAAAGGATCCCAGATACGTCCGGAAAGAACGATGCAATAGATGGACCAGTGAGAACGCGGAGATTGCAACCCCCTGCTTGTTTGAAAGGAATATCCTGCATTTGGAGCAACACCTGTGAACTCTCCTGGGTCAGCATTTCACATTGTTCTGGGGAAGCCCATAATGTTAAACCCCGGATTAATACACCCCTGGTTGATTAATAGGGGGGTGTCCCGTTTTAGTTGGGGATTGATCACTTTTGGAGGGAACACCGCCCTAATAATGGGACGGGCTTGTTAATCCTGGGTCAACATTAGTGGATATAAATGGTTCAACTGATCGAGAGCCCCTGCTTCAGAATTACTCTTGTTTGCTGGAAAACTTGCCTTCTGCAATCCTTTGGACCCTTCAGCTCCCGGAGACAAAGAGAAATCCTTGAACTTGGTTGCCTTTGACCCCCCTGCAAAAAGTTTAACTTTTTGGGGGTTTAGTGGAAAACACCTTTGTTTGCCAAAAAGTTAAAGTCTAACGATCCAACCCAATAGCAGTCAAGTGAAATCGAGGTTTCACGCGACGCAACCTTAGAAGACAAGGTTCGGGACAAGAAGAAAGGAAGAACTCGAGGTGCGAGCATTCCAAACTGGACCTTCCATCAAGTTGAAGCGCCCAATTGAGGCACCACACATCGTCTGTGGATACCTGCAACTTGAAGCGTTTGTTCCGCTCGCCCGGGGAATACTCAAGAGTCGTCACGGGGGCCACTTGGACCCCTCAAAGATGGAAATGCGAGTCGCGGTCGATGGTTCGCCGCTGGGCTTTGTTTGGGGGGAGCCTTTTTTTACAACCCCCTCTGGCCCTTAAAATAACGACCCGCTCTTTTGCGCATCTTGCGATTTCAAAAAAGAAGAAAATAAACTAGCAGCTCGGGGGTCGGAACCAACAAACACAAAAACAAACAAACAAACAAAGAAAGAAAGAAACAGACAGACAAACAGACAGACAGACGGACAGACGGACAAACAGACAGACAGACTGACAGACAGGCAAGCAGGCAGACAGACAGACAGAAAAACAAACAAACAAACAAACAAACAAACAAAGCAAACAAACAATTACACAAAAGCAACATCAACGAAACAAAACACCAATCAATGTTGGTTTCCTACTGCTGGCATGCAGAATCAACCCCTCTCGGCCAAACTGATCCGAGCCCTAAAATGTGAACGAAATGTCGGGAAAACCCAAAAAACCAAAAGGTCCGTCCAGTGCGGACGTCTTGGCTTCAACATGTTCCCTCCAAATCAACGCCCCTTGTGAGAAAACCCACCTCAAAAAACGAATCGGCCTGAAAGGCGGCAAAGAGGAAAAAACTAGGACCATAGGTGTCCTTTTAGGGGAAATAGATGGCCCTGGTAGATGATTAAACCAACAGGTAAACCAGTGCCAATAGGCAAACCAGTGCCATCTATTTTTCGACCAAAACAACCAAAAAGGACACCTATGCCCTTGTCCTGCAAAGCCGCCCGGCACCTCTGGACGTCGCCTTTCTGAGCCCAGGCGTCGATCAAGGACGTATAGCCTTGGACGCGATCCACTCCCCCAAACCACACCCCTTGCTGGGCAAAAACAAGAATCAGCCGTTTTATTCCGGGCGAAAGGAGGCATAAAATCATACCAAAGTGAGGCGAAATGAGGCGAAATGAGGCGACATGAGGGCGACATGAGGCGACATGAGGCGACATGAGGCGAAATGGGGCGAAATGAGGCGAAATGAGGCGAAATGAGGTCAGGGCAGAGGTCTTTGGGGGGGGGTCTGTCCTGGATCTTTACCCGTGTTACTGTGTCTTTGTCTCAGACATGGAGCCCACAAAATATAGTTTGCCGTTTTCCGTATGGAGTTGAGGCGTCAACCGCTCAAAGTCTCTCTCTAACTGATGTTGAACCACCTACGCAATCCAAACAATGTATAGAGCCCAATGACTTCAACCGGGTCGCTGGTGCCACTTTGAATATTCCAAGAGGACTCAAAGGAGGACGCTGATTTTTGTCAAGCTCTTCAAGTGGGTAGCAGGTTTTGGGTCCATGGGGTCTGACTGGCCCCAAACACTCAACGCTTAAACCACAGTTCTTTTGACTATCCTGATTGACTAGGTCCGTTAGAATAAGGGTACCCTTTTTTCTACCGTCAATTTTAGTAGGGGAACCCTCCCCCAAAAAAGAAATGGTCAAAGGGCACCTAGCTGGGGGACCTAGAGGTCCCGCCAGCCTTTCATGGCATGGTGCTGTAAGCCAAGAGAGTCGGGAAGTTGGGCTTTTGAAACCTGCTCCGTTTCCAGGCAAGCCAGTAATTACTGGGTATCCAAGAGAAACCATTTACAAACAGAAGTACCCGTAGCAGGCAACTTGTTGCCCTCACAGCGTCGCGGCATCCCTTCAAAGCGATTGCTCGGAGTCGTGCTTTCAGAAAACCAGGAAGTGGACGGCCCGTTTCGAAATATGCGCGGATGTAAAACCAAGAAGAAGACCGGGAATCTACGGCATCCCGGTAGTTGGAACTGAATGGAGATTTCGCTGATCAAAGCCACCGCCCAGAAAAGGTTCTCTCCTTCGTGGTTCTAATCGAAGCCTCTCATTCAGGAAGCGGCCTTCAGCCCTGAAATCGCTCCCTTTATCCAAGTGACCTTGGCTCAACCCAGTTGCAACCAGTGACCCTGGCAGGAAAAGGGAACCCTTGCGGGTTGATTCCATTTATGTCTCTGTGGGTCCCTCACCCAAGTGAGCGACAACGGTGCCATTTGGCTTCCGGATTCCAGAGGTCGGACCGCATGCCGTCGAGCAGCTGAAGTGGTTGGGAGTCAGCTGCCGGGCCTTCATGTCACCCAGGATTTCTTGAGCTTCTTCTGCCTGGCGCCAAAGTTCGAGTCGGGAGTCCACCGGCAAGAAGCAGCTTGCTTTCCCAGGCAAACTCGCTATATCTTTTCGTTGCTTGGATTTACTCAATAACCTCCTTGGAATTATCTGCTGATCGAAATGGAGGGTTCCCTACTCCTACTCCTAAATTATGAATGCCAACAAATCGGGAAACCACCCAAGAAATACAAGGACGGATGGCTTTTTGATGAACCCATGCTACACAGGACCCTTAGCCGATGATCAACTCTGAGGTTGCGACTCACAGTCAAGGGCTAAGGGCTATCCATTTCAACACCACACCAAAAGGAAGCTCAAACAAAACCAATGGAAACCAAAAGGAAAAGGAAACCAAAGGGCATCACAATTCCTTTCATCTGAGAAATCAGTGGTCACTCCAAAAGGGAGACCGAGGTCACATCGACTGACTGGGCCTTGCTGGCTTTGGCGTGCGCGTGGAGCAAGGTGGCAAAGGTGACTTCGCTGGGGCTCACCTCAGTCTGACCACCATGCTGCCGTGAAACGCTGAGGTCCCTGAACAGTATGGGTGTTCGGTTAAGGGGACCAAATCCTTTGGTGACCCATGGATCAAGGATTGCCTCAAACAGCCTGAATAATTTACCAGTTCGCACCCCAGGCGACGGTTGGCGCAGTGCATGTTAGCTTCTGGATCACATATGTTTTCCTAGTTCCCCACTATGCTCAAAACACACACATTCCATTTCCCAGGGTGGCTGCTGCAAAACGACTTCCCCCAACCTTGCCACAGCGCGCAAGACGCAAAGCACGCGAAGTATGGAACCCCGACGACCATTGCTTCCGCTGCACGGCTGCTGCCCACCCTTTGTCCAAAAAAAAGGCGTGGGTCACAGCAGCCGTTCCGATTGCCAAGAGGAAAGCCGGGGTCACCAGACCTCCCCAAATCAACTGCTGCTCAATTTGGCCGGTGGTTTCCAACGATCGACGCTGGAGGCTCAGGGCATGGCTCGAGTTCGTCAGGACTTCTCGCCTGAAGAAAAATCCATCCGCGCCTTGTCCGCCTGCATCTCCGAAAGCACCGCCTTCGCTCCCGCCAAGTCTGCTCGCTTCGCGAAGGCGTTCATCAAGGCCTAGGTGTGCAAAGCATAGCCCTCTGCTCCCCTAGAAGTTTAACTAGTGGGTTTAATGGCTGTGGGTCAAACATATGTACCCAAAATGGAACCCTGGTAAATGGAAACACCGACTAAAACCTGCGGTCCCCTAGTTGTGGTTTAATTTTGACCCACACTCAAATGGAAACCTCCACTGAACCCTACAAAGCTGAACATCTAATGGGACACTACCAAGATAGGCGGCTAAATCACAACTGACAGGCTCTGAGGATCATGGCACCATCTGGTTCTTACCTACACCACCACCCCATTCCAATCGTTTAGGGCCTTAGGGCCTTGGTGGGACATCTGGCAAACCAAGGCACTCATGTCAATGTCAAGACTTGCAACTTGTGCATCTCTCAACCAAGCGAAACTCAATCAAGGAGAGTGAACGTGACCGCTTCAGAGGAAAACCAAATGTGAAAGGAACAAACCATCTGAAGCCCCGCCGTTCCACCTGGAGCCCAAACAACATCGCCTAAACGACAAAACCAAACCCCGAACGCCTCCCCAGCATGGGCTCAGCTTCCGTCCCCCGGGTTCTGTACTTGGAACTCTCCCGGAAACCGCGGACCTACTTGTTGCCGTCCCTAAGAATATCGGAAACTAAAGAGACCCCGCACGGCCCAAACGAATAAAACACCTAGCGAGAACAGCGAAATGCTCAACAGTCCTAGGTGTAAAGGTCCCAGGTGTGGCCAGTCGGCCAAGCTGGAGCCCTCCTTTCCGTGGATCCGCTTCGGCTACTGGACACCTAGGTTAATTGTCGGTCAGTCCGTGGTGTTGGTTGGGGTTGATTGGTTGGTTGGTTGGTTGGTTGGTTGGTTGGTTGGTTGGTTGGTTGGTTGGTTGGTTGGTTGGTTGGTTGGTTGGTTGGTTGGTTGGTTGGTTGGTTGGCTGGTTGGGGTGCCAGGTTCTCTGCAAGGTACCTGGAGCCGTACGCGTCCCATAACTTCGGGCGCAACTTCGGGCCCTGCCCCAGCCCCATGGGTCATGCAGACTGCAGTTAGCCCTAAGGGCGTCGTAGAGAGCAAACAGATCAATGATCAATGAGTTTCTGAGGAAAAGTATAGACTCAGTTCCGTCTTACGAATTAGTTTCCACCAAACAGTGTCAGACTCCAGTTGAACAGGGCCCAAAACTGCTGACTTTTGGTTCTACCAACATGGTGATACAAACTTATACAGGGATTCGGTTGATCCTTGTTAAACCAAGTCGCAGAACCCAACATATGGCCAATGTCATGACGTAAACCAAGTGTGCTTTTTCCAGGTATCCCCCCAAACAAATTTGCGTGAAGATCAGCGTACAGCTAATTTCGGTCCCCATGTCCTCTGATGACCATTACCTGTTTTGCTCAGTTGGCTGTGGGTCAAAATTAAACAACCAGGGGACCGCAGATTTTAGTTCATATTTCCATTTGCCAGGGTTGAATCTTGGGTTATTATTTGTGACCAGCCAGTCGGAGCCGTTGGACGGCTAAGGCCGAGGGGCGTTGTAGGTCAAGCTGTTGAGGCTCACGCGCTCCGCCCGCATCTCCGCGGCGACTTGGGAGGCCCTGGCGGCCTGGCCCAGGCCCGCGAAGCCGTCCAGCACCGCGGTGTAGGCCACGGTGTCCTAGCCCGACTTAGTAAGTCGTTACTGGGCTGCCCTATCCCCCGCTAAAAGTGACTAACTTTTAGTGGGTCAAATGGAAACTACCACTAACCACTAAAAGGCTAAAAAGCTAAGGGGATGGCTGGGAGCCACCAAGGCTATTGTCCCCAGTTCATCTGTTCCCATTCTGTGGGTATATGTTCCAGTTGCCTGACGTGGGACCCATGGTGAGGTACCTAGAATCAGAGCTGCAAGCAGACCTAGGCTTCAACCCAAATCCCTGGCTGTAAACCACTGACGATTTGACCCGATGGCGGCGGCGCATCATCTTTTTTGGGACGAAAGTCGGGGAACCGGCACGCAGAACCCCCAAAGGGTGATTTGGTGGGTGGCTTCTCTTGTACCAAATCGAGCCAAGGCTTCAAATCCAATTCCAAAACACCGATTTGGTGGTCAACCGTCACCTGACCCCCAAGTGGGGTTCCGATTTGGTGGCGCCAAGTCTAAGAGCCAGGGCTTCAAGTCTCAATTTGGAGTTGCGTGAACCAAGGTGACAAGGGCACCCTCCAAATGAAATACCAAATAGTGGGAAGCCCAAAAGGGAGCCTCCAAGATGGCTTCCACTACCCCCAAACCAAGAGAAACCTCCTTTTCTGCAGGGGAAGAGGTGCTAGGGTTGACACCCAACCCCTTCTCTAAGCTTCCATTTGGTTAAGACCCCTGGAAAAAGTAAAATTATTTCCAGTAGTGATAGATTCCCTTTAAGCCAACAGGGGAAAATAAAAAAATATTCTTAAGCAAATGGAAGTACGGCAACCGTTTGACTGGGAGTGTTCACGCATTTTTTGCACCGGGCGGGTCATGGCGGCCGCGCAGGTCCAAGGCATGCGAACCGATTGCAAGCCCTGGGCCCGTGCTTGCCAGCACGGGCCCGGGGCTTACTCGACCGGCTTCAGGTTCAAAAGAGACCCAGAAACCACACGACCGGCTCATGGCCAACTAATTTCTTTCCCAACTCTTGTCCCTTTCGGACTCCGACGGATTTCCCTTTTTCACCACACAGCTTTTGCACCTACGAGATCAATACCGTCGGATTGAAGCTGCGCTGGGAATGACATTCTCGCTTCCGAGAGTGAGCACCAGGTCATGTTGAGGGGGTATCAAGTGCGCTTTCGCGGGGTGGCGGGTGGCAATACTGTTGCCTTGTTCGGGCCAAAGCAGACCTGTACATAGTTCGCTCGGAAGAACCATGCGTTTTGTCAGTGCTTGGACTTACTGAGCGTGGCCAGAGGTGTTGCACATAAATTGGTTCGTCAACCCCGGCAAGGGCGGCGAACCAGCTGCCTCCTTGCTTTTAAACATGTTTCAGCTACTTGTGGGGCCCAAACAACAGTAGTAAGTATACTTAGAAGGGGCGGGGCTGAAAACCAAACTGAGACATGCAAAACCGCGGGCCCCGGGGCCAAGTGGCCAGCTGGAACTTGCGAGCAGCCATGTCACGAAGCATGGCTTCTGCCTGGGTGCGTCGTTCAGCTTTCAAACCATTTGCCATGTGGCTGTGGGTCAAAACCAATGGTACCACTTTGGGGTAGGTGCACCACCCATTTTAGTCTATGTTAGTGGGGATTGGGATGTTCTCTGGGGGTACGGGATTTTGACCCATGGCCATGTTCCTTCGGGGGGTCGCAAAGAAAATCTGGAAACCACACAGTTCTCAGGGTCGTTGGAAACAAACCATGTCCAACCAGCTCCGAAGCGAAGGCTTTGGGAAACTTGTGGGGCACTCATTTGCTACACTAGGTTCAGGCTTGCGCTTGATCAAACTGTTCAAAGTTTAGACATCTTCATCATTGCTTGGTTTGTCTTGCCTGAACCCTTCAACTTGTACAGTCCGTCATATCACCTTCAGCCAGGGGAAATGTGTGATGGCTTCCCTGTTGGCTACCTCAGCTTTGCCCAAAACATGCATTCTAATATTCTGGCCCATACTTGGTAAGCCTTGAGTTGTGACACATTGCCATTGAAAATGTCCTATAACACCAAAGTCCAACAACTTGTTAGATACCAAGCGGGAACTCGTTCAGACCTAAAGAATCAGTAGCATTTGAAGAGGGTCCAGGAATGGCTGGCGCTCTTTGATTGGGTTACAAGCCCCCCGTTTGAAGCACACCCATTTGGATCCCCGCTGCGCCTGGACAGCTTGCCCAGCTTTGGCCAGCGCGTTGAGAGCGGCATTCTGCGCTACCGCATCTGCCTCTCCTCGGTGTCAAGAAGTCACGCCGCTCAAAACGGCCCTGCAGAAGGACCCCCATTATCTGGGGGAACCCTTCAAATGCGTTTCCAATTGTGGTGTCCCGGCTTCCCTGTCAAACGCCCAGGGTGCCCTCAAAATAGTTGAGCTTATGTGTGCCATTTCTTCGGCTTGGTCACTTGCTAATCGGGTTCACTTTTCCACTATCAAGGTTTGCATGGGGCGACAAGCTTCCCACGTGGTGCGTGACTTTGCCGGACCATGAAGGGGGCTAGCATGTGCCAAGTTTTCCGTCCGAGTACATTCGATTCGTCCGGGGCGCCGAGACCCGAGCGCATCTCCTGGAGCAGGTCCAAGGCTTGGGAGCTTTGGGCGCAGCTGGCGCAGGCGCTGATCAAGGCCTGGTACCTCCAGTGGAAAAAGAGATGCGCACCGGCGGGGGGGAGAAGGGGGGAGAAGGGGGGCGGCGGGAAAGGGGGGGGGAGGCAAGAGGGAGGGGGCGGGGAAGGGGGGGGGAGAAAGGGGGGCTGTTCAGTGAACTGGGGGCTGGGTTCCTTGAATCGCATTGTATCGGAATTTTAGGCTTAACTCTGATCCATCAGGCTTCACAAGGGCCGTCCAAATGTCCGATGACAAGAAAACTCACAAAGTGGTCATAAGTCTAAGGATGGTCCATCTTGGTATAGTCAAGCAACCGAGTTGCTGAGGCATCTTCGGCTGATTGGTTGACTGGCTGGAGGGCAGAATCGCAAGGGGCGAGTCCACAACTTTTGGAGATGGCATTCAAAACTGACTATGGGTTTCCTGAATGCCGTGGGGGGAAAAACAACCTTTTCCGAATGCGAACCCAAGCACCTCTGTAGGGAAAACAGGATCCCATGGGTTCTCAGCCTTTGCCTCAAAAGGCAGCAGCAACTTTCAGAGAGAGCCTCCGCTTTCATACCAGTGTTTGTTTCCCGGAAATCCAGCCCATATTGGACATGGTGGAAAATTACTCTTTCGGTAATATCAATGTGGATCATCCCCTTTGTCGCTTCAGGGATTCCATTGGCACTGGACAAAATCCTGCAGTTGGGATGGATAAAGCCCGATCTGAATACGGGTAGATCAACCACCTCGCGATTGGCGCTAGATATGTCCATCCATAGTATCACAAAAGCAGGCCGTCACCCCTGCGAGAAGCAGCGATCACAACCCCCCGGATTTCGCCAAGAGGGCAGACTTGTAAAACATGGAAACCCACATGGTTCTTCCCTAAGGCAAAGGGTTCGGTGATACTCCCCCAAGCTCCGCAAAAGCGGAACTCCTCTTGGGTTCTATGCTACGGTACGCAGAAAGTAGTCCTGCCAGGCGGCGTCTCTCCTTAGACAGCAACCGAATTGAAAGTGTCGGCAAGAGCACATGTGGCAACGCCATGCCAAGGATATCACCCGAAAGTGGCGAATTCAGGCCATCCTTTGGTTTGTATGCCATATTGCCATCCATGGTCTTTGCTCATGTGCGCTCCTGAATGCCAGCTTGATTAGTTTAGTATTTTGAAACCTTACTTGGTTTGCTTTGTTTCATTGTGATTTATATGTTTATTAAAAAAAAAAAAAAAAAAAAAAAAAAAAAACAGGCAAAGGTCCTTGAATTGCAGCCAAGATTCTGTCTGGCTGGACATTCTGATCCTCCATCCTGCTTCTCCATCGCGTCGCTGCGTTCAAATCGCCGCCTCAGCGCAACGAGCTTGCTTGCTTTCGCTTTGCTTTTGGCGGGCATCAGGTGTCTCTGACAAGGCCATGGTTCGGACTTGTCCACTGTTGAGGAACAACCAAATTAATAAAACCAAACCATGAAATCCTGCCATAACCTCGAAACGAATCATGATAGCTGTTCAGGGACCCAAACACAGAAACACAGGTGTACCTTTCATGTGAGGTACCTGCAGAAGTATTGGCTTAAAGCAGGTTAACATTGTTTGCACCCAAAAAGAATTAAAAACTCGTTGACTGCGACCTGCAAGGAGTTGAGATATGCGTTTATTAGTTGAGTCACAATTAAACGCCAGGTAAGTCGACCCAAAAACCTACCAGGATTCAAAGCGAGGGCGGTGAGCCCTATTTGTGGTTGGGACTATCCCCTACAAGTTAGGGATAGTCCATGTTCGTTCGACGGAATGGTCTCAAGCATACTCCCAGCCAAGTCTTTCCTACACGCTCACCTGCGCTAGACCTCCTCTTGCTTTAGAGGCTCCGTAAGGGAGTTGCAAAAACCTGAGCATGGCCTCAAATGTGTGGCCTCCAATTGAGCTCATAACATGACATCCTTTGGGCTTGGCCAACCAACCAACCAACCAACCAACCAACCAACCAACCAACCAACCAACCAACCAACCAGCCAGCCAGCCAGCCAGCCAGCCAGCCAGCCAGCCAGCCACAGCCGGGGCCAGTTCACCAAAAAAAAGCCGGCTGGTTCCGGATGGCGAGGAGACCCCAAACTCGAAAACCAAGACCGATCGCAAGGCTTGGGAATCCCAGGCGCTCTTCGCGGCCGCGGCCAGCACGCAGTTGTAGGCCCTCGGGCGGGCACGGGCCACGCCCGGGCGCGCCCCTCTTGAAGGAAATCAGGAATGCCCTGGAGTGGGGTGGGGGGTTGGGGGGTGGGGCGTGGGGGTGGGAGGGAGGGGATAAAAGGTGGGGATAAAAGGTGGGGGGTGAGGGGGGGTGAGTGGGGGTGTAGGGGTGTAGGGGTGTGGGGGTGGTCTGAAGGAAAGCAAGAACGGAGTGGTCGAGGAGTGCAGCAGGGTTGGTTCTTGCCCTAAATGAAAGCTGCTATCCCTGCCAGTTATCTTTACGGCGCGTAACCAAGCAGTCGCTTGCTAATGGTGTGTTCCTCTGGGTACCTGTAACATGAAGCTTGGGGAAGAGAGGTACAGTGAAACTTCCAGCAATAAAAAGGCTTCCCCTGGCCTCCAGCGCAAAAAAGTGTCCTCAAAAACCGCGGGTACAGGAAACGGTAACCAGTAGATGATTTTCCAACGAATCATGGTTCACGAAAGGTTGCCACTAAGTATGGACCGAGAAGCCCCGCGTACCTTTTGTTGGGCAATTTGAAAGGGAAACCGCCTCCAAAAAGTCGAAAAAGGATGCGCCACCTGAAGGTCGTCCCAAAAAGGAAAACCAAAAGGAAAGCCAAAATATGACTTCCTGAGTGAACTGGCCACAAAAAGCCCCCAAACTCTTTGGTGTTGGCCACAAAAATGGTCCAAACCCAAAAAGTGACTGAAGTCCAGGAACTCAGGGTCCAGGAACTCAGGGTCCAGGAACTCAGGGAGGAAAAAGTCTAAAGTCCATGAGGGAGGAAGACAAATGGATCAAAGGGTCTACGACTTTTTGCCGCTAGCAGCGTGGTGGGCATCCGGCCATCCAGCAGCTCCAGCTGCCGAAAGTACTCCTGAAGGACTTCGAATGGGCTTGGAATGACTCGGCGTTGAAACCAAGAGACCAGCATCGGTGCCCTGCTTTCAGATCTGAAGGATTTTGAGCGTGAGAAGCCAAAGAAAAAACCACCTGGATTTTGGCATGCCAAGTGGCTTCTCCAAATCGCCCTTGGGTTGAAAACGTATCCACGTCGCTTCTTTCCGGTCTGCAAGATCCCTCTCCTCCGCCTTGGGCAGGTTGCCAGCCTTGCTGGCCGCCTGCGAACACTGTTTTGGTCGCTTGGCGCTCGGACCCGAAAGCCAAGCCACGTTGTTTCGACACCTTTTACCTAACCCTGATGTTGAAAAGTTTGAGGGTCCTTTTGCAGACCCTGCAAATTGGTTGGATCTTGGTCCACCGAAGCCCATCCAGCGGGTGCCTTTTCCATCATACTAGGTCACTAACAGGTAGTTGTTGTCGTATCAACCTGCAAACAAAAACAACCGGCTAGCGCTTGTTTTCTTTCTGGGACAACGCACTGCATTGTAACCGCTCAGCCGTTGCAAAGAGAAACAAAAAGAGAGAGAGAGAGAGAGAGAGAGAGAGAGAGAGAGAGATCTTCGAACTGGCCCATCCAACCCCCCCCCCCAAAAAAAAAAAAAAAAAAAGAAGGAGGAAAACAAAAGAACCAACAAAAACTGGGAAGGCGAGTGGGTATGTCTGAAAGGGAACCCCATCCAAACGGCCTTCGCCAAAAACCGCGCACCCGCCAAAAAGAAAGGAGCCATGATGGTCAAGCCCCTCCCAAAGGAAGGACACCCAAAAACTGGGCTGTTCAAAATGGAGGGTTGTCCAATCCGATTTTCCATAATCCTTATAGGGGAAGCCACTACAAAAGGGCCCCCGTAACCGATAAACCGAAGGTAAGGATGAATTTCCTTTGAACAGCCCCAAATGGACAACAAATGGACACAACGAAAACACCGAAAACACGAAAACACAATTTCCTTTCGACCGCATCTGAACACATGCCCCCACCTCCACGAGCTTGCCGAAGCCCTTCGGGGGGCCAGGGGGGCGGTGGCTTGGGACATGAAAAAAACGGGCGATCGGGGCAGGTAGGGAATGAGAAATGGAATGAACCTGAAAATGCCTTGAAATGCCGAATGAACCTGAACATTCCCTTAAGGTAAGCCACCACTTGGATGGTTTTTCTTGGGCTCTTTCCGCACTCCCTACTGAGCACCACCAATACAAGGGAGACTTGCATCAAGGCACAAAAAAGAAAAAACACGTGCCTCTGGCACTTCTTTTGTGATCTACTCTTGGATGTATGTAGCACTGCAAGAAGGCTCCAAAGGACCAACAAATGGACACAGTGACAAAACGGTGGAAGCTGCGCAAAAAGCGCATCCAAACCGTTTTCCGGAAACACGAGCTAAAACCACATCTGCCGAAACATCATGCGTCGAAGGGAAATAGCAATGTGCCCCTAAGGATTTCCGCGCCCACACCATCATACAGGACTGCCATTTATGTTAGCAGGGTCGTGTTTCTTTGTAGTAGGCTACATAAAGGCATGCGCCCCCTATCCACTGACTACGGGGGTCCTGGAAAGCCATTTCCCTGTAGAATGGACCCTCTGGTGGGTTCCACGTTAGTGGACAACAAGGTATATGAGGCAAGACCTTTCCCTTGACCGTCAAGTCTAACAAACCCATTGCTCCGAATCAGAGGCTATCCGTCAGAGGCTCCGACCGGGTTTGTTTATCCGCCAAGGGAAACCAGTAACGTGATGAAAACACCAGGGGCTGAGGTCTTTCTTGATGCATACCTCTCTTGACATTGTCAAGTCGGAACTCATCCTAAGGGGTCGGTGTATCAGCTTCGCGTCCCAAAACTCCAATCTATTTGGAGCCCTAAGCACCCATCGGCTTGCCGACGGTTTGCTTGCACCAACTTCATTGTGACCGTAGATGAAGAACTCCCCCCAAAAGAAAAGGTTGATTCCCTTCTTTCCCTCAAAGGACACACCCCGTCGTGTTCTTCGAAAACTCGTCAATCACGCCCCTCCCAACAAGCAAACAATCATCTTGGATTCCTTTCGGCTTTCCCACTGCCGGGGTTTTCTTCCGGTGTCCCTTTACTGTAAACCAAAAAAACTTTTTTGTTTGCTTACTTATACCAATATGGGCATGAATTTTAGTTGGGTACCCGTTGGTGGACATTATTTGGGTGGTCTTTCTTGTCCACAAACCTTTCTCAGGGTGTTCCCTATTTCAGATCATAGCCAGATACCTCCAATTGCTTCAGCCCCCTGGGAAAAATGAACACATGTCCAGTAGTGATAGATTCCCTGTGATGTCCAGGGGTACTCACCCCATTCTTTCCAGAGACCCTTCTTTCTAGAAACCTCTGGCAACCCGGAAAAACGGCGATCTGTTCTCGAACAAGAATATTTGAAAGGAATGGGGAACGAACCCCTAGACACAGGTAGGTTGAGGAAAAAGACAATGGTAAATACAATGGGGAACCAACATCCCCAAGAAAAATGGGGAAGCTTTCCACAATCCATTTTAAGGGGGTCCTTATTTGCAATCATAGCCATATACCTCCATTTGCTCAAGCCCCCCTTGGAAAAAATGAACATATGCCCAGTAGTGATAAACCCAACTGTGATAATCAAATAATAAATATTCTGAAATGCAAAGGTCTAGGAGTATCCTATTCTTAATATGCAATAGCAAACTAGGTCCTCCAGTAGAGAGGTTAGAATAAGGGTGCCCTTTTACCCGCCGACAACAAGGCGGCGTGTTGGACATAAGAAATGCTCCTTACCTGTTACCCTTACCCCTCCCCAGGGGCACGGTTTCAGACTATTGCAAGGGGGGGGGGGGGGAGGCCCACTGCCCCAGGTGCCTATCCCAGAAGGGAACTGGTACCCTGTGGTTGTAGAGGTTGTTGTTGGTCCCTGGATCTATTCCGGAGAGAATCCAATATGCCACTGTGGATGATTGGAGGATGGATTGTCCCTGGTGGATTGTCTTGTGGATAATCCTGGAAGCGGCCTGCTAAGGTTCTTTTGCTTCACGCGATCATGAATGATGCAATGATACACAAAAGGGGCCTTGAGCCAAATGTTGCGGGAGATCAACTGGTCTGAGAAACAAACACAAAACAGACACAAATTTCTTTTCATCTCCAGCACTAAGTATGAAATACTATTGGCTTCATGGCCTTTGGCCGTAGCCTTGATGTATGCCGTAGCCATGCTGTATGCCGTAGCCAAAAAAATGCCGGATTCATCCTCTTTTCTGCTCGGATGAAATGTCTTGGCTTTCGAAATGGAAAACACTATGTACTGCTTCTTTTTGAGATACCTAGATGTATCAAAGGGTGATGTACAACGCTATGTACACGCGGGACGATTGTGAAACTATTGATCTCTCACTCATGGTATAGTCTTGTAGACGGCGGGGATCAATCATCTGAACTGAGTTCGTGGCGCTGAACGTGTGAATCTTCATGGTCAGTCGGATCGACGATACCATCGGCGGCTGCTGTCGGATTGACTGCCATAGTCTCCATAATCATTCCAGGTCGAGTTGCTATAGTCCTTCCACTACTTCTGATGTCCCCACTGCTTATTGTAGTCCTTGTACTCCTGCGGGGTCCAGGCTTGTTTCTTCTTGATGTACTCCTGGAATCTCAGATTTTCTGCGGATGTAAACCATGAGAGGACTAATGAGAGTCGGAGTCCTGCGAGCCATTCATGAACATGTCATTGTTCACGTGCTTAAAGCGCTCTGCGGATGAGACCTGGTAATCGAATATGGCCTTGGTTGGATGGTTCCGCATGAATTGCAGTTGTTCATCATCCATGCCGTTCATCTCGTCCTTCCGGAAAGCCTGCTGGATGTTCGTTTTGCCCCATCCAAATACGAAAGTCATCATCACATCTGGGAATGTTCGATCATATCCTGATCCACACTTCATGTACAGGTGATGACGGACAATGGATTTTAGGGTGCACGAAGTCTCCATTGCATACTCCATTCTGTCCACGAGTGGCAAATCTTTCGTTTCATTCCACAGTCTCTGATATGCTCTCATGAGGATGTTCACGAGACCGTTGGCCGGATTGAAGGCGTGCTGGAGTTTGCTGTAGGTGTTCGCTGATTTGTTGGCGTCTCCGGTGATCGCATCGCATCGGTACAAAGTCACGAGCGGCATGATTTCATTTTGAAGATCTTCCCTTGCTGCTCCATGGCTTTTTTGAAAGATGGATGTGGAAAACTCCAATGGTAGCGAACGGGAGATCTGCCCTCGTTATGTGGCGGTCGTCATACTCGTGGAGTGACTTGTTGGATGATTTCGGGATTATGCCATGAAACTCATCACTCGATATGGAGAACGACGATCTCCTTGTCTCGGCCATGTCCTTGGACAATGGTGCGTGTTGGCAATCTTGGTCCAATGTACTTCTTGGATTCAGTAAACATGGATGGTCCTGTGGTTGCCAAGCAATCCGAGGTCGGAGTTTCGTATTCGGGATCAGTGCAACTTCCTTCAGTTCCGAAGAAACATCTGAACATTCCGAATGTGGTTCCCCAATTCTGGCTCTTGGTGGAAATGTGTCTTGCCAGATGTTCCACTCTTGCAGAAGGTCCGCCGCGGACAAAGCATGCGATCGGTCTGGATGACCATTGCTTGATCACGATGCCCTTGTGACCATATCGGACGAACGTCTTGGTGAGCTCCCTGGATTTCTCATCATTAGGGCTGAAGAATGCGTCTGCTTCATTGAGGCATAAGATGTGTGCACTGTTCTGCATCATCATCTTTACGATCGGTCGATCCTTCATCGGCATGTTGTACACCTCCCTGTTGTCCAGCTTTGGATTCCTTGTGTGAGGTTTCCATGGTTCAGTAAGCATGTTGATTGCTATGGATGAGGTGAACTCATGCATATTGAGATAGTCCACAGGAGGACGGTCGGTCGGCTGCATCAGCGATCCCAGGATATCGGCATAGGCTCGGATGATTTCCGGGTCATCATGTGACCTTCAATCCAAGCGGAAGCTTAATCGGATATCCGGATCCTGGTTGAGCTTTCTTGTACTCGTCAATGGTGGGACATTCTCCTCGATGAGGGAAGTAGAATTCTTCTTCTCCGAGATTGACATCGGGATCGACATGTGCCAATGAGGCTCTCTCGCACTCTGTCAAGTTATGATGAGCTCTTCTTGGATCTTTGTTGAACTTGAAGTGGGAGAGGGTTGCCTTGGTCTCCTCGAGCTCTTCCTCTGCGTCCTTTTTGTTCAAATCTGTGTCGAGATAGATTCCCTTGAGTCCTTGGATGAACTCATCTAGGTTCTCTGAATTGTGATATTCCACGGTGACTTTGGTTTGACGGATCTTTCCCCGGAGGGTTCCATCGTCTCTTCTTCAGCTTCGTCCTGATCGGTGGAATGCCGTCTCTTCTTGGTCTCTGAGGAAGTATCTTTTTCCTTGCTGTGCTTGGTGGAATTCACATAATTGAAGAAGGCGTCGGCAAATTCGCGGATCTTGGTGTCGTACATCTCGTAATCTTCATGACTGAGATGCTTCTTCATGATCCACGTGTTGCTCGCCATGAGGCTGCCATCAGGTTCAAATGCTGCGACAATGTTCCTTGCCTCGATGGTTTTGTCTGTCAACGCTGTTCGCTCTTCGGAGAGTCGGATGCCATAGTCTTGGTCCTTGAGGAATGCAAGGATCAACAGTGCATCTCTTCCTGCTGGCACATGGGTCAATGCGGCTTCTGACTCATCGTCGTCAAGGATGACGTCATCGATGCATGCCATGTGGACGTGCATTCTCCACGAAGGGTGTGACTGGGATTTCCCAGATTTGAGCCCGTGCTCCATGATGCTGAAGAGCTGATTTCCATAGGTTGCATGGAACATGAATGTGATGGGCTTCTTCGCGAACGGCTTGATGTTTCTCTCTTCTTCAATGGATGGTGGTGCCGGCCTTCGCATTCTGTGCTTGGGCTGAGCTGTGCCTTCATCTTCATGAGGCGCCTCGGATCTTGACGGATGCGGACTTGGCGGAATAGATTCCGTTGGTAGATCATAGTCCGGTTCGTCGTGTTGAGGCTCTTTCTGCTGCTCAGAGTCCAGGGGTCGTCCAAAGGATTGGATCTCGGCTTGTCGTGTGTGTCCGCTGTTGCATCTCACGGATCCATCTCTGGATCGACATAGAATTCCTTGCCATCGGGCCTGAGTGCATTTTGTGCGGATCTTGTGGTGAGCTTGTCGATCCATCGATTCCTTGGAACAATTTCTCCCCGTGCCTTGCGCTCCTTATATGGCCCGTCCACGGATGGAAGTACGAATGCAATTTCGAAACGTGATTTTCCATAGCTCGGGAACATAGCCATCAAGAGAAGCCCTGCCTTATTTCCAATGAAGTTCCTGGCATGTGTGATGCAGGTCAATGCGTCATAGAGCTCGACGGATCCATCAGGACCCATGTCCACTGGTCGTTTGCATTCCTTATGGATTCCGTGTCTTGGATCATGTCGAAGACATCCGGAAAATGATCTGCTCATTCTCTCAATTTGCCAGAGGATGAGATCTGTGATCTGTTTCGCCTTGGATGGATCCATGCGGAAGTATTTGCAAACCTGTTCGACATTCTGGACGGTCTTCGAGATCAATGTTGCCGTTGTGGCATACCATCGGGATGATGTCGGTTCCGTAAACTTCGGATTGAGCATTGGTGTAGCAGCAGATGCTGTAGACCTTCTTGATGAAGTCCATGTATTGCTTCTCCGCATGATGTCCTTCACCTTGGAGTGTTGGCTGCCAGTAATCGTTGAATCTGGCCTTCAGCCAGAATACCTTAACTCCATGTGGTCTCTCATGCTCAGGAACGAAGTGGCTCGAACACAAAATTCAGGAATTTTGAGGACGTCGATGTTGGTACTGCATGGAGGAGTTGTGTGATATCGAAGATGCAGGGTCCAATTTACCCTGGCCGTCTCTCCGTTTGCAAAAGTGAACTTGGTCTCGGCCGGGATGTACTCATAGGAGATGATGTCCTTCATTGGTTCGATGGCATGAGTAAAACGCTGGATTGCATGCCAGCTGCCCGTACAGCCATTGTCCAGAATCGCATAGGTCGGGTTGTGCGGACAGATTGTGTTCTGAAACTGTATCTGATTGGATCAGCTTCTCGTGGATGGCTTTTTTCCCAGGAATGCTGCCATTAACGCTTGTCCTGCGCTGGATTTTTTAATGGGATGAGAACCAGCCATGTTCGTTCCATGTCCATGATCAACCGGCATAGGTAGGCTCTATGGATGGTGCAGTCTGCTGGATGGCGGGCTGCTCCTCAGTCTTCTCTGTGGTGGCTGCGAACGTCTTGGATTTTGCTTTCTCCTGTCCGCTCTTTCCTTTGCCCCTCTCATAGGATGGATAACCTTTGTTTCCATCATAGGGATATTGGAATTTTGATTTTCCTTTCTTTCCCTTCTTTCCTTTGCCTTTTCCCCAATATGCCTGGTCGTAGGGATCATAGTTTTCGTTGGCCATATTGGCCTTTCCGCCAGAACCGCTTTTTCTGAAGGGTTTAAAACCACCTCGTTGGTGGCTGCCCTTTTTGTTTCCTGATTTTCCTTTTCCTTTTCTCTTCTTGAACTTGAAGTTCCGCCCCGACACTTTTCTTGCTATGAACGCATCGTTCTCCTCGAGGACCCAGAACGTCTCTTCATCGTTGTTTGACATGAATCCTTCAAGTCCTTCTTCATCCTCAACCCAGAAGCCTTCTTCTCCTTCGTATTCACCTTGTTCGATGATGAAGAATGTGTTGCTTCGGTTGCCTCCTTGAAGTCGGATGGATGGATCTTGGATCGATGTCCTCGTCGTGATGGAGAGTTCATGGTAGTGCGTCTTCAGCATCTCATAAGAGTAGTTTTCTAGTGAGATGTTTCTCAATGACATTGCACTTGTCAGTGTTTCTCGTTGCTGATCTGACAGCTCACTTTGAATAATGAAAAACTGTGCAATGAGATTATCCCCGAAGGGAAATGCGTCCCGCTGTCTGTCCTGCATTCCTTGGATATGCTGTCTGAGGACTGTCGGATCGTCCTCATTGAGCAGGGCTGGAGGCGGTGCTCGAACACCGGCTGCTTGCTGATGTCGAGCAATTGTGCTTGCATTTGCGTCCTGTACGGACTGTCGAGATGATGGGGACTGTGCCGTGAAAGCGGGCATCAAGTCCATCCATGCTGCCTTCAATCTCATAAGAAGGATTTCGAATTTTGAGGTAAAAATGAGGAACTCTTGGTTCTGCCTTCTATGGTTGAAGAAACTGAGGAGCCTGTACAGATACACGTTGGTCGCACCTTTCAAAAATACTTCTTCAGCGTGTTCTTGAAATAGTTGACTCCTTCATCAGGATCTTGCAAAAGGTCGTTTTGGAGGACTGCCTTGTACATATATGCATCTCCGGCCAATCTGCTTTTGAGCAGAGGTCCTCTCTTGGGTGCTTCCACCGTCGTGATGGTCACACAGTCGTCCACGAGTTCTTCATACCTGAGCCAGCTGACTTTTCCGTCGTACGATGGCGGCTGCTTGGCGGTCATCGATAAATTTAGTGTTTCCTCCGTATAGCCTGGGTTCTTGGCCATACTTGAATAGGCTTCCATGAAGCCTTCTCCATCGGATGACATCTTCCCTTGGATCTCTGCGGAAAACCTGCTCCGCTACCACAAATTGAGGCGCACTGCCCAGGCGCCTATCCGAGAAGGGAACTGGTACCCAGTAGAGGTCGTTGTTGGTCCCTGGATCTATTCCGGAGAGAATCCAATATGCCACTGTGGATGATTGGAGGATGGATTGTCCCTGGTGGATTGTCTTGTGGAAGCGGCCTGCTAAGGTTCTTTTGCTTCACGCGATCATGAATGATGCAATGATACACAAAAGGGGCCTTGAGCCAAATGTTGCGGGAGATCAACTGGTCTGAGAAACAAACAAGGGGGGGGGGGGGAAGCCGTTCCACTAAATCCTTTCTTTGCTGCGCAACACAATTCCGTAAAAACATTGGGGTGTTCGATTCCCCCCGGGTCCGCCTTTGCGTAGCACCTCCTGGGCAACATCGCCAGCACCACCTGCATCATCCGCATCAGCGCCTGCCAAGGATGCGGATGATGCAAGTGATGCTGGGGATGTTGTCCATGCTGGGAACATCTGGAAATGAAGGACAATGCATGGACATGAATAACATGAAGTGAAATACAAGAAAGGGAACAAAAACAGACATAAAAAGGGGCATGAACCGAAGTGAAGGAAAGTGAAGGGAAATGAAGATCTTCGAAGAAGGGGGAAAAATGTTTTCGGGAACTGGGGAGAAGATCGGCGGGGGGGGGGGGGAAAGGAAAGATCTTGGGGGACAAAGGCCTCAGGGGGGAAAGGGGGGAAAGGATCTCAACCGGGAGCGGGGGAAAAGATCTTAGCGAGGAAAAGGGAGAAGACGTCAGGGGGGGAAAGGCCTTAGGGGGGAAAGGGGGGAAAGGATCTCAACAGGGAAAGGGGGGGAAAGATCTTAGGGAGGAAAGGCAGAAGATCTGGGGAAAAAATGCCTTAGGGGGGAAAGGGGAGAAATGATCTCAACAGGGAAAGGGGTGGAAAAGATCTGGGAGGAAAGGGAGAAGATCTGGGGGGAAAAGGACTTAGGGGGGAAAGGGGGGAAAAGATCTTAGGAAGGAAAAGGGAGAAGCTCTCAGGGGGGGAAAGGCCTTAGGAGGGAAAGGGGGAAAGGATCTCAACAGGGAAAGGGTGGGAAAGATCTTAGGGAGGAAAGGGGGGGGAAGATCTTAGGGAGGAAAGGGAGAAGTCTGAGGGGAAAAGGACTTAGGGGGGAAAGGGGGGAAAGGATCTCAACCGGAAAAGAGGGGAAGGACCTTAGGGAGGAAAAGGGAGAAAGATCTCAGGGGGGGAAAGGCCTTAGGGAGTAAAAGGGGGGAAAGGATCTCAACAGGGAAAGGGTGGGAAAGATCTTAGGAAGGAAAAGGGAGAAGCTCTCAGGGGGGGAAAGGCCTTAGGGGGGAAAGGGGAGAAATTATCTCAACAAGGAAAGGGGTGGAAAAGATCTTAGGGAGGAAAGGGAGAAGATCTGGGGGAAAAAAGGCCAACAGGGAAAGGGGGGAAAAGATCTTAGGAAGGAAAAGGGAGAAGCTCTCAGGGGCGGAAAAGCCTTAGGGGGGAAAGGGTGGGAAGGATCAAGATCTCAGCGCGGGGAGGCCTAAGGGGGGGAAGGGGGGAAAGGATCTCAACAGGGAAAGGGGGGGAACGATCTCAGGGAGGAAAGGGAGAAGATCTGGGGGAAAAACGCCTTAGGGGGGAAAGGGGGGAAAGATCTTTGGGAGGAAAAGGGAAATCTTTCTCGGGGGGAAAAGGTGCTAGGGGGCAATGGGGGCAAAGGATCTCAAACGGGAAAGGGGGGAACAGATTTTAGGGAAAGATCTTGGGGAGAAAAGGTTTTAGGGGGAAACGGGGGAAAGGATCTTAAGCGAGTAAGGGGGGAAAAGATCTTAGGGAGGAAAAGGGAGAAGAACTCAGGGTGGGAAAAGGCCTCAGGGGGGACAGGGGGGAAAGGATCTCAATAAAGAAAGGTGGGACAAGATCTTAGGGAGAAAAAGGGAGAAGATCTAGGGGGGACAAGGCCTTAGGGGGGAAAGGGGGGAAAGGATCTCAACAGGGAAAGGGGGGCAACAATCTTAGAGGGGAAGGGGGGCAAGGGGACAATTCCAAAGGGACGCAAATAAGAAAGCAGGCCTGTAAAGTCGGCGGCCTGAGCCGGAGGCGTTCAAATTTCTGTAGTCTATTTTAGTAGGGGAACCCTCCCTCAAAAAAAGGGGAGAGAAGGGCTAACTGGGGGCCTAGGAAATGGATGAAGTTTCCTCCCAGCCAAGGCCTTGTCGTTTTGCTCCAGGTTCATGTCCTTCAGCCGCGCATGCCAATACTCTGCCCGCTCCAAACGCCCAGCGTTGGCGCAGGCCTTGATCACGGTGTTGACTTGGTACCTAAGAATGGAGGAGAAGGTCCCCTAAAAATTCACGTGTCAGAGTGTGTGTGCGGTTTCCCAGGTTTCCAGAAGTTTCTAGAAAGAAGGATCCGTGGAAAGATTAGGTAGGTCCCCCTAGACATTTCAGAGTATTTTTGTTTAGTTTTCCTCTGCTAGGTTTAAAGGGAACCTATCACTACTGGACATATATTCAACTTCTTCCAGGGGGCTTAAGCAAATGGAGGCATAGCTGTTTCAAGTAGGGAGATGGCAAAGGGTCCCTCCTTAGGAACTGGGACCAGAAGGAACAGTGACACTGACTGGATTGGACCAAGAAGTCAAAGAACTTGTTGACTAAAATGGCTTCCCAAAAAAGAAAAATATGTCCAGAAAGTTGCCGAGCGAGTCCATGTCGGATGGATCATGGAAACTCGCCGTTCACCCGAAAGTGCAAAGGATTGCCTCTTAATCAGCCTTATGAAAAATTATGCAGCACGAAGATTTACAAGTCCAAATCCTCCAATGTTGGGTGAGTATTTGCAAACTGGAAAGTTTAGAGCTGGGAAATTCCAGGCGGTTTCTCAGCCCAGTGGTGGAAACCTTTTGGGAATACGATCACGAAGGGGAAAGGATGACGCGCAGCGTGCCGTGCAACCAGCGTTTCAAGCACATCCCCTAGCACCTCAGTGCAAGTCAGTGCGAGCCAGTGCAAGTCAGTGCAGGTCCAAGCCAACTGCAGGAGCGCAAAATGCAAAAATCAGGAATCCGATGGCAAAACGCAACGCAAATCCCCGCGTAGACGCAAGATTGCATCCACTTCTGCAAGACTCGCAGGGATTTCTGGGTGTAGGGCAGGACGTGAACAGGCTGAACATGCAAGCGCTGACACTTGCCAAACAAACCAAGAAACGAATTCCTGACTGCGCATAAACCTTGCGCACTTCGTACTGTATTGCCCCAGTCAGTTGAGCAAAACAACCAAACCGCAGGAATCAAGTCACCAGCCACTGTCAAGCTGCTTGCTTAGCTTTGAAAAACAGATCAGCGGAGCCAATCGATTTGACAAAGCTCTTCTTGAATCCTCCTCTATGGAAATGAATGGTGGTTGGAATAACGAAACCTCTTCTGCAAACCTTCCGCTGCCGTGTGGCACTCTGAGTGCGAGCAACGCTGCTTAAATGCGAACCACACCCCAGAAGTACAAGCTCATAATTTTAACCCTGGATTGATTAACCCCTGGTCAATTCAAGGGGGGTCCTCGTTAGTGAGGGATTTGTCACTTTTGAAAGGAACACCCTCAAGTAATAAGGCAGATGTATTCATCCGGGGGGCCACGCGACTATTTACAGTGACTCAATCGAGAAGATCTGGGAAGACTTCCTGCAAAGGTTAGTGGCAGAATGGATTCCAGTTCACTGCCAACAAAAGGCCCTCTACTTCACTCATGAACACTGCCATGTGACAGCCATTAAGCCCACCCCTTGCAAGTTTACATACGTGATTATTTCAACATCCCCCCTTGTTGGATCCCCTTAAAAGGACACCATCTAGCACAATCAGAGCTTTCCTTCCGAGCCATGCCGTACCGAGCCGCCGCAAATAGGAGCCCTCCTTATTGTGCAGCTGGGCAAAGACCCGCTCCGCGTTGGCCACGTCCCCCAACTCGGCGTAGCGATTCAGCTGGTCGCCCAGCGAAGCCTCGGGAAAAGGGTATGGGTCAAAATGAAAGCACCAGGGGACCAGGTGTTGTTTCATGTTTCCACTTACCAGGGCAAGCCTTTTAGGGTACATATTTTTAACCCACAGCCAAAACGAGCCACAAGCCTCCGGGCAGTTGAAGGCATGGAAGGCCCCATTTTTGAATAGAGAGCTGATTCGTTTTCTCTCAGGCAGCCTTGCAAAAGGGGCTTCCCAATATCTCCGAAACACCACCATCATAATTGCTGCTTCCTGACAAAGGGCTTCCTGCCAATGTTTGCCTTGCCTTTGTTTCCCTCCAGAAAGCCATCCAAAAAAGGGGTGGAGGGGGGTGCCTAAGTTTGGCATGTTGCATTCCCCCACGGTAGACTTGAACGCAGAGGTGGTCGAGCCCCAAAAAATGGAAACCCCTGGTTTAAACTTCAATAAAGTCTAAGCAACTGGCACCCTGAATGCACCAAGGTGAGCCACCAAAAGAAGAAGTCCCGCCTGATGGCCTGCCGGCGCGCCTCAGTACGGCTGAAGCGAATGCCGCACGGCGCAGCAGGCCCCCAATTTTACCCAACAGGGAAGCCCCCAGAGAGTCCCTTTTGAACCAACACGGCCAGTTGACATATCATCTGTTTAGTGGTTTTCCAACCAATGGTCATCCCATGCAAAGGACCTACTGATCAACCCCCAAACGAACATAGTCTTCCAGGACCTCTATGGCAACGTGGTCAGGAAGGTACTTTGATTGTCAAAATTGCACATTGAGGTAGTCGGAAAACTGCGCATATTTGATCACATTTTCGGTTCGCACTGCAGGCATTGCCTTCCGACGGGTCCCACGCTTAAGGGCCAAACTCGATGCTTCCCATGAATCGGCATGCAAACCTTCAGTCCCCAGGCTACCAACCGCATTTGGATGCCGTGTCGCCACGGTTGAGGGGCCCCGTTCCAACCAAACATGGCGAAACATGGGCCAGGGGAAACCTAAAGAAAGGCTTTGTTGCCTTCTGTTTGTTGCTTTTTTTGAATATGCGTTGCTTTCCGTTTGTTTTTGTTTTTTTGAATATGTCACAATGCAGTCTGCAGCACTCCCCGACTCTTTCTTTTCCCCGAGACTCCGAGCGGGTGGCTAAATCCATAACCAGGGCGGGCAGGCTGAGATACAGCGCTCGAGGCAGCCGTCCCCGTCGTGGGGAGACCAGCTGAAAGCCGACTGTGTGTCCCAGTCAGTCTTCCACTGTTCACATCGGGTAGATACAGCGCTGACCGCAACCGTCTCTTTCCCGTTGCCTCATGCAGCTTGCTGAAAAATTGGGAGCAACACCAGCCCCTTCTCCCCCAGACTCCCAGCTCCAGGGAGGGGTTGGGAAGTCACTCGTGATCCACCGCCCGGTCGTTCTTTTCGCGCGCCTTGCCCAACAGCAGAAGAACCGGGCAATTGTGGCATCTCCCGCAGTTCTGGGGGCACTTGTTAAAGGCGTGGTATTTCTTGCAAAACTGGGTCCCCGCCAAGGAAACGTCTGCCCACTCCGGCAGCGGAGGCCTCTCCGAACTCTTCCCCGTTCCGTGGCCCGGGGAACCATGGGCCTCCGAGCCTTTGCCTTTGGTTCCTCCGTGCCGACCAGCCAAAGTTCCTCGGCCTTTTGCCGAGCGCCCCTTCCAAGGTTTCTGGCTCCCACCACGAGAACTTGGGTTTGGCTCCCTTTGTTTTGGAGGACTTGCCCTTACTATGGTCCTTGCAGGGGCTTGCCTTTCTGGCTTTCCTCCACCACCAGGCCTGCGGCAGAACTCGTCTACTTCCCTCCGTGCCTTGGAGATGGACAGAGTGTCATCCATAGACATCTTCAGCGCCACGTCCGCAAGCTTGGGGGTGGCTCACATCTTCCCCCATCATGAAGTCTTGGAGAGTGTGATGGTGGATGGTGAGGAGATCGATGCCACCATCAGAAAGAGGTGCGCCAGATCATCATCATGCGCTCCCACTGTTTTTCCTATGAGGCCCCATAGGATTCCTCTATGATCCACTCCGTGTCCTCCTTAGACTGCCAGGCCACTTTGGTGAGGTCCAACAAGCTGCCGGTCGGAAACTTGCCTTGCAGGAGGATCCTCTTGAGCACCCCAAGCATGTGGTCCGACCATCGAACTCCGCTTGGTCTTGTCGCGGAGCTGGTAGGCTGCCCGCATCTCATTGCGCCCCAACATGGCCCTGTGGTCAACGACCGGGCATATTTCCAGCTTGCTCAACTTCCTTTTCTTCAGCCTGAAGGCGTCGAGCAAGTTCTCCAGTCTGATTACCGCCAGGACCTTGTCCGCAAAGCCCAAATCACCCGGGGCCTTGGCGCGGACCTCCGCCTCAGTCCATCGCCGCACGAGCCATGAGCATCCAAGATACCTTGCGGTGGGTGTCGAAGGCCATAGGGAGTGGAGGGTGGGGAAAACAACCAGGAAGATCCGAGGCTTGAACCACGATCTTGAGCCAAAATGGCCCCGAGGAACAAGTTCAGACTGGTCCGAGTACAGTGCAGGCAGTGGGAGTTAACAGCACTTGGCACCATGACATCCCAGTTAGCCTAAAACAAGTTAGGACAACATAAGAAGTCACAATGCAGTCTGCAGCACTCCCCGACTAGGCTCCGAGCGGGTGGCTAAATCCATAACCAGGGCGGGCAGGGCAGCAAACACAGCCTGTTGGCTGTGTCAGCTTCCTGCCAAGTCCGAAGGGCACTGCCCGCCATCACCGAAGGACCCAAGGACTTCCTCGTGGTACACTTCTAGGAACACGCGCTGCAGTCCCCGAGCCCGGACGGCAAAGGATGGCAGATGGTCAACAATGATTGGGAGCCCAAACCAAGAACTTTTAGGAGGAGTTTAAATTGGAAGCCTGCTTTGGGCCTCTGACCTCTCATCCACAAGGTACACCTCATGCTCCTTGAATGACCCACAAGTGCCTGGTGACGAAGGTGCCGCCATGGCAAGGAAGGTGGCACTGAGCACAAACCGGTGGCCCAGCTTGGCTACTCAGGATCGGCGACACACTCATCTCGCTCGCTGGACTCGCCCTGTCGGTGCTTAGCTTCTACACCTCCCTGGCCTCATGGTGCAGGAAGGAGGCGGAAGGTTCGCAAATTCCCAGGCATTTCCTCAAGCGCAGGAGCAGGGATTCGAAGGCGATGTTGGCCATTGCAAAGCGAGGGCAGGTGGCCTACACGTACCAGGATGTTGGGGGAGACCAGGTGGTCCACACATCCCTGGTAAAGGCAGGGACTGCGACGCACAACCTCAGGAACGTGGTTGCGACAAGTAGGCAGGATGGGGGGGGAGGCGGACGTCCTACTCACCTGGCAGCAGTTCCTGGAGATCTTCGGCCTGGATGGCCTGGGGATGGGAAGCAATCCGATGAGGCGGACGCTTGATGGTCCTTCTCAAAGCGAGCCCCGCAACGTGGTGTCCCACAAATGTAGGGCGCCTGCTGAGCCTCCGTCACCTCGCTGCAACGGGTTCCAAAACCTCGGCCTTGCCTAGCCAGGGCACTCTGCAACTTGGCGGACTGAATCCTCTGCCGCAAATGCTGGGAGCTTGGCCGAACTTGGTCAAGACCGACTGCGGGAGGCATCTCAGTATGCCCGCCGTATCACTGTCGAAGAGCTTGGTGGGAAAGATCCGGTTCCACCACGCGGTAGAGCCCCTTCTTTGCGTCATGGGCCTGCGTTACACACATGTGCGTATCCTGAAGGTCCAGCTCCGTCAGGGTGGGGATCCTGCAAAGGATCGGGATCTGCGCCGGCATCTTTAGCGTCCTCTTCGAGATGAGGTCCATCAAGGCCGCATCCGGGTCTGCCCGCACCCGCACATCCGCCCCATCCCAGTTGGAGCGAATCAGCACCCTCTCCTCCTTCTTGAAAACGTACCATTTCTGGGCCACCTCCGCCGAGAGCCAGGCCCGTGAGCGTGCTGATGGGGTCCTCTTCCAAGCCATACCAACGGACCACTGCCGGCCACCATGCATGCGCCTGCGGGAAGAGGTCCCTCAGCTTGTCTTCCAGCTCTTTGAAGACTTCGGAAGCCCACCTTCTTCTGGATCCACTCCACCAGTTCCGCTGTGGTGGGCCCATGCCGAAGAGGCTCTTCTCAGATCCTGCGTTGTCCATCCTGAAGCGGATACAGCGCTAGAAGCAGCCGTCCTAACTTCAGGTTTCTCTATGGGGCCCAGGGTGTTCGTATCGACCGGCGGGTCAAGGAGCAGGTCATCCAGGCTCGGGTTGTCAGGGAGGGATACAGCAGCCGTCCCTACCAAGGTCAGCTCCTCCGCATCCACTTCCATTGCCGCCAGTCCAGAAACAAGCTTCTCCTGCACGGCTTCCGCTTGTGCCTCACGACGGGCGCTGCCATGTCCATAGCTCGTTCCATAGCCGAGAAGAGAAAACCAGGAAGATCCGAGGCTTGAACCACGATCAAATTGGCTTGAGCCAAAATGGCCCCGAGGAACAAGTTCAGTCCGAGTACAGTGCAGGCAGTGGGAGTTAACAGCACTTGGCACCATGACATCCCAGTTAACCCAAAACAAGTTAGGACAACATAAGAATTGTTGTTTGCTGTTTGGTGGTGTTGCGAGAGGAAAACTCCACCGGGTCAAGTCCGGCAGTGCACTTGCTGCCTTGGGGTCCGGCTGAAGGCCAAGCTCCTCGGAGCGCGAATGCGGCGTCGGGACGTTCGGGGGTCTACCGTCATGGAAGTGACGGGTTTCTACTATGCGGCTCGTCCTTTTTTTAGGGGGACCCCCCCAACAAAAAACAAGAGGTGGCGTTCCATCATGTTGGTTCCCCAAAAAAGGGATACACGCATATCATGCCTGACTAGAACCCCCTCTAAACCAGCCCAAGCAAATCATGGAACCCAGTGGAGCAGTGCCAAAAATCCAAAGTGTTCTAAATCTAACCAGCTTCTACTTGCCTGGTTTGAGCAAGTTTATACGACCCTCACTATGAGACCTGCAGGGGGCCAGGACGGCCAACTTGGGTTTCAGGCGCTGCTCATATGTCTACCCCAAATGGAGCCCCCAAATCTCAACACGGTTAGCGTCTTACATGGCCCTCTTACGGCCGAACGGGGTCTATAGCGCGCTTTCTGGAAATTGGAGGCCCCTAAGAATGATCACTGGCATGTTGATCTGCACAATATCCCTCAAAGCTCCAAAGGTTTACAGACTTTCCTCTTACAAGTGCCCTGAGGGTACAAACGGCTCGCAACAGGACTGAAATGGCTTCATCCAAATGTTGCAAGGACTTTTTGGTGTACCATGGTGGCGTTATGCTTCACGCGTTGGAACAGCACAGAAATAACAAACACACGCACAAACAAAAGCAAGCCTCAACGTCCAAAGTTGAGGCACCTTTCAATCAGTAACCTTGTGTGTGTGAGTGGTGGCATGTGCCAAGCGTACCTCTTCTTTGTGTAGGACTTTCATTTTCGGTGACCAGAACAAAACAATCTTAGGCTTGCGACACGTTGACTTGTTTGCCGTGCAGATTGGGTCGAACCCCAGGACATGTGAGGCGCTGAGGGCGGTTCGCCCCAGGAACTGCAGCAAGAAGCGCAAGTGCCACTCCTGCAAGGGAACCAGGTGTCAAGGACACCAGCCTTTGTTGCAGGCCATCTCGCTGGGAAACGAAAATAAAACTCTGGCCTTGAAGATCTAGAAAAATCAGCGCACACCCTCAGACCCTATGATATCTATTATTTCTCCTGTTGTTTGGGCCAAGCTACATATATTCAAATCAGAGGGGCGGGCCAATTAGAGCCTAACCAGCAACACACAGGCACACTGTTTTCGATGAAAGCGGGGACAAAAGATCTGTGTGGCCATTAGCCCTCAACCCTCCCAGCCAGACGGCGGATGTAAAAGCAGAATGGAGCTTGGCCGAATTTTCGAGAGCGAACATTTCAGTTTATGTTTTCCTAGGTTCGGCGCGGCCTTGTTTTTCCTAGGTTCGGCAGGGCGGTCCCGAAGAAGCCATTGTTTGGGGTGGGTTTGGGCCGGGCTTGGGTTTCTTTAGGGTGCGCTTTTGGCTTGGTTCAGGGTTGGTTTAGTGCTGGTTTAGGGTGGGCTTAGGGTGGGCTTAGGGTGGGCTGGGGTTGGTTCAGGGTTGGTTTAGTGCTGGTTTAGGGTGGGCTTAGGGTGGGCTTAGGGTGGGCTGGGGTTGGTTCAGGGTTGGTTTAGGGTTGGTTTAGGGTGGTTTAGGGTGGGCTTAGGGTGGGCTGGGGTTGGTTCAGGGTTGGTTTAGGGTTGGTTTAGGGTGGTTTAGGGTGGGCTTAGGGTGGGCTGGGGTTGGTTCAGGGTTGGTTTAGGGTTGGTTTAGGGTGGTTTAGGGTGGGCTTAGGGTGGGCTGGGGTTGGTTCAGGGTTGGTTTAGGGTTGGTTTAGGGTGGTTTAGGGTGGGCTTAGGGTGGGCTGGGGTTGGTTCAGGGTTGGTTTAGGGTTGGTTTAGGGTGGTTTAGGGTGGGCTTAGGGTGGGCTGGGGTTGGTTCAGGGTTGGTTTAGGGTTGGTTTAGGGTGGTTTAAGGTGTAGGGATGGTTGAGTTGGTTTAGTGGTGGTTTGGGATGGGTTTAGGGTTGGTTTCGAGTGGGGCTTAAGGTTGGTAGGGATTGTTTCGTGTGCTGGTTTAGGGTGGGCTTAGAGCTGGTTTAGGGTGGGTCTGGTTTAGGGTTGGTTTAGCTGCTGTAGGTCTGGGCTGGTTTACACTTGGCTTTGGGATGTTTATTGGTGGTGTGGGGTGGGTTTGGGCTTGCTACAGTGCAATAGGATTCGGTGGTGTCTTTCGGGTTGGCATAGGTGTGGGTTTAGGGTGGATTTAGTTGTGGTTTTGGCTGGAGTTGGTTTAGGGTCGTTGGGCCCTGGTTGAGGGGGGTTTCAGTTAGTTCGGATTGGCATAGGGTTGGCTTTGGTTTGGTTCAGGGTCTGCTTAGGGTTCGTTTGGGGTTGGCTAGGGTTGGTTTCGGGTTGGTTTAGGTTGGGTTTTTGGTTTCTGTACGGCTTCTTCAGCGGATTTCGCGTGGGTTTCATGTGCGTTTAGGGGTGGGTGCTGGGGTGGGTTGTAGCTGAGGACGTAGGAAGGCAAACCAAACCCCACAAAAGCACGCCAAAGCTGATGGTTTACGAGGTTCAGCTGGGTTTGTGCCTTTTTGTACCCCCCCTCCCCACAAGAAAAAGTTGTTCTCCTATTGGCTTCCCTTTTAAAACCAGCCCAAAAAGCGTACCCTCAAAACAAGACACACCCATACGAATTTGTGGGAACGTGAGGGTTGCTTTTGTAATCAAAAGTCAATGAAGCGACATCTGCAAAATAATTGTCACAGTGGTGGCTCAAAGGAAAACAACTGCCCCGAAGGAAAGTATCGAGAACTGCTTGACTCACTGACTGATGGAAACAAATGATTCAAGAATCATAGCTGAAAGAATGGTGCAAGGCTAACATCTCAATCACCCAACTCCTGCCCACCTCCATTGCAGTGGCATCCTCAAAATACCCTCTCAATGCTGGCTGTTAAGGGTACCACCCCAATATTAATGATGGGCGTGACTTAGACCCTGCAAAAAAAGCAGTTTGCTGATTCAAACGGGAAAACGATGGAAAACCAAAAAGGCAAAAGGTCAAGGCAAGCAAGCTGGGCCCAACGCTTGATGGACCCAAGCGGTGTACTTTGCAAAACTCGGGCAATAGCACCACTCCTCTGCGCTTAGAGCATCGCTTCATCGGCGAATGAGCTCGCGGAAGAGCTCTTCGGGGTGTCTCTCAAAATGACGGACTTGGTTTCTGTTCGGCTTCAGCCCAACCTAACAGCGAGCTGACTTGCCAGAGCCTCGAAAATTGGGACTCCTTTTTGGATGGCTTAGGGCAAGAACAAAACAACCACCTAGAGTCCCTGATGTTTTTCGGCACCCATGTTGATTTGGGGTTTGGGAGTGTCGGAACCGTGGATGTAGGTCAAATTCTGGCAAGATGGCTTCAGTCTGGCTCTAGCTGTTGTCCCCCCTGCAAAAAGCTTAACTTTTTGAAGGTTTAGTGGAAAACCCCTTGATTTCCCAAAAAGTTCAAGTCTAAAGATCCAACCCAATAGCAGTCAAGAATCATGCGCTCTCACTTTTCCACGTTGATCCCTACCTTTCAGCCAGCACCGGAGCGAGAGAAATTCGCACACCGAAGCGAAATCCGAACTCCTGAGGCTTCAGGACTGCGATGGCAACGCAATATGGGTAAGCCGCTAAGCCTCAATTTGTTTTAGAGCTGCGGTTACGCAGGTTTTAGTCTTTGGTTTCATCCGTTTCATCTATGCCATTTTGGTACCGCTTTTTTGAGCCACAGCCATATTTCGCAAGCACCTGAACCAGCCGAAGCGCCCGATTTCCCCCCCCCCCCCGTTGTGGTTTTTCGGTATCTCTCCAGGTCTGCTTGAGTAGGCTTGGTGTACTTGCAATGGGTTCATCCACCGTAGAAGAAGCTTCAAATCTCCGGCTAACATGGAACCGCCCTTAGGGGAGCATGGTCGTACTCCAAAAGGAGCCACACCCACCATGGACCCAGTTGCCCAATGGCCAAGAGTAGAACAACCAAAAGCATGTGTAGGGGCCCACCCACAAATGCCACCAAAAGAGGTGTCAAGGGACCCGGGACAACTGGCTGGCCAGTGTCTGTCTAACCAAAACAGGTGTGTGGGTGTTGATTTTTGAAGTTGAGACAACTCATAAAGACAAGCATGCTCGAGTGCTGGGAAAGCTATGTGCTGAATCTAACATTGCTTTCCTTCTGGCGGACCTTCCCTACCCCTTCCATGGATCCCAGTTTCAAGAAAACCAGCAAACATAAGAAGGAAACGGCTGGTGATTCAAAACAATCATGGTTGAACACAAGGAAGTGAATCCTTGTCCCCTAGAATTGCCAAGCGTCATTGAAAGATATCATACTGTGGATGGACGAAATCCTGCACCACTTTGAAACCATGGTTGAAACAATTGTTTGTTGGAATTTCCAGAGGAGTCGAATCAGAAACCAGGGTTTGTGACCGGTGCTTCGATGTCTGGATTTCGCAACCATCCCCAGTACTGACATATGGGGGCTGATCAATATGGCCCCCAGCTTTGACCATGGGGAACTTGTCCCATTTGGTTGATAACTCAAAACTTGTTGGTGGTTTCCCAACCAATGGGTCATCCCACGCAATTAAACCTATACCTTTTGGTGGGAGATATCATCTTTTTGGCGGTCTCACACAATCAGCCCATGTATCGAGGGGTTGATTCCTCTTCCGTTCTTTTCAAAAACCAGCCGTGTCCCCTGGGTTTTTGATGATTTTCTGAAAAGAAAGGTACCCCTATGTAATTGAAGGACCTTGTTGATCAACCCACGACTCTGGGCCGTCGCGCCACCACTGCCCGCCGACACCAGGACGCCTCAGCCTCTTCAGCTTTCGATGCGGGGGCGGAGGGCCCTTTCAGCCTTCCTAGCTTTCGGTCGCTTTTGAGATGCTGAAGGGGGCGGGGTTCAGGTTCCCCAAGTTTGGGGGAGCCCAAAATTTGGTCCAAGCACATGTTCTTTGAGACGCTTTTGGGGGTTCCATGTCGGCTCCCACTCTTTGTTCGCCGACCCATTGGTGAAAAGAGGGAATCAGGCAAAAGAGGGAAAGAGTGCTCAAGACACCGGCGGTTTCTTCGGGAGTTCGCGCAGGCCGCACCCGGAAATTTGTTTGTTTAGAAAGCCCAGCCCGTGCAACCGAATCCCATTCCCAAACTGGCTGTGGGTCAAAAATAGGTATCTAAAATGGCTTGCCCTGGTAAATGGACACATGGATGAAAAAATATGCGGTCCGATTCCTGGTGGTTTGATATTGACCCACACCCAACTGACCCATCTGACCAAGCCGCAAAAGTTGGGCGGATCCCTGCAAACAAGACCACGTTACAAACAAAGCACAGATCTCATGTTCCATGGTCAAAACTGGCGTGGACCATGGTGGTTCCCCTCATAGGAATCCTTGGCACTAAATTCCCCATCGCAGAAAAGGTCTGTTGACCACTCGGGGACAGCAACAACCGACCTGCCAAACCGGTACGGTTTTGACCACTGAGATAGCCTGGAAACATATTTGCTCGTTGCTTCAAGACTTACGAATGGAAGTCCACTAAACCGTGGGAGGTAGTTCCCGAGATTGGCCACTCCAGCCGGACTCGGAAGTCCTATTGCTTCTTCCGTGTTGTTGCTTTCTTTGAAAGTTGAGCCATCTACTTCAGACTGCGCTTCAACGGCGACCGACCATTGATATCCGCCCATGCGCTTTGTCATGCGGGGAGCCTTCCATGGGGTCTCGTTCGATCAATAATCTTGAAGAGTTGCTCAAGCTAAAGTTGGCCAGCCAGGGTCACCCCGTCAGTTCAGTGCTCCATTCATCTGCAAATGTTGCGATAATTCCAATAAGAGATCCCCAAGTAACAGACCTACACCAGGTAAGTTTGTGTTATCCCCAAGTACTCCAAAGATCCTCTCGTGCATTGGGTTTGTTGTCCAAGATGACCAAGATCCGTATCTTTCGCTGGTTTTGGGTGCCCGAAGGGGT